ATCTGTCCCCACAGGCTGCCCAGAAGAAGTCCGAGTGCCAGGCGTGAGCCAGGGCCACCGTGTCCCCGAAGTGCCACTTCCACCTGCCTGACAGGTGCCACCACCCCCTGGAGCCCTGTCCCCACGGTGCCACCAACCCCTTGGAGCCCCGTCCCCATGGTGCCACCACCCCCTTGGAGCCCTGTCCCCATGGTGCCACCAACCCCTTGGAGCCCTGTCCCCATGGTGCCACCAACCCCTGGAGCCCCCATCTCACCAAAGTGCCACCACCTCCCAGCAACACCGCGTCCCCACGGTGCCAGTGTGTCACCCTGCCTGCCAGATGCCACCACCCCCTGGAGCCCTGTCCCCACGGTGCCACCAACCCCTTGGAGCCCTGTCCCCATGGTGCCACCAACCCCTTGGAGCCCCGTCCCCAAGGTGCCACCAACCCCTGGAGCCCCATCCTCATGGTGCCACCAACCCCCTGGAGTCCCGTCCCCATGGTGCCACCAACCCCTTGGAGCCCCATCCCCATGGTGCCACCAACCCCTTGGAGCCCTGTCCCCATGGTGCCACCAACCCCTGGAGCCCCCATCTCACCAAAGTGCCACCACCTCCCAGCAACACCGCGTCCCCACGGTGCCAGTGTGTCACCCTGCCTGCCAGATGCCACCACCCCCTGGAGCCCTGTCCCCACGGTGCCACCAACCCCTTGGAGCCCTGTCCCCATGGTGCCACCAACCCCTTGGAGCCCCGTCCCCAAGGTGCCACCAACCCCTGGAGCCCCATCCTCATGGTGCCACCAACCCCCTGGAGTCCCGTCCCCATGGTGCCACCAACCCCTTGGAGCCCCATCCCCATGGTGCCACCAACCCCTTGGAGCCCTGTCCCCATGGTGCCACCAACCCCTGGAGCCCCCATCTCACCAAAGTGCCACCACCTCCCAGCAACACCGCGTCCCCACGGTGCCAGTGTGTCACCCTGCCTGCCAGATGCCACCACCCCCTGGAGCCCTGTCCCCACGGTGCCACCAACCCCTTGGAGCCCCGTCCCCACGGTGCCACCAACCCCTGGAGCCCCCATCTCACCAAAGTGCCACCACCTCCCAGCAACACCGTGTCCCCACGGTGCCAGCGTGTCACCCTGCCTGCCAGATGCCACCACCCCCTGGAGCCCTGTCCCCACGGTGCCACCAACCCCTTGGAGCCCCGTCCCCATGGTGCCACCAACCCCCTGGAGCCCTGTCCCCATGGTGCCACCAACCCCTGGAGCCCCCATCTCACCAAAGTGCCACCACCTCCCAGCAACACCGCGTCCCCACGGTGCCAGTGTGTCACCCTGCCTGCCAGATGCCACCACCCCCTGGAGCCCTCGCCCC